TATCAATATAATTAGTAGTCCTATTTGTATGAGTATTATTACTATTCCTCCTCCTCCTCCTCCTCCACCTCCACCTCCTCCTCCGCCTCCGCCTCCGCCTCGGCCTCCTCCCCCTCCTCCTCCTCCTCCTCCTCCTCCTCCTCCTCCTCCTCCTCCTCCTCCTCCTTCTCCTCCTCCTCCTCAGGGGGGGTCAGAGCTCGATCGGGCCCCTGGGCCGTCGGATCCCTGGTCCCTCGAGCGGCTTGGCCAAGATGGGCCCCAAGACGAGTCCAGGGAGTAATTTTGAGGACGTCGGGGGAGAGGGGTGGACGACGACGACGACGACGACGACGACAAGAGCGAGGATGAGAGCGAGGACGAGGGGGCGGGTAGAGAATACCGACGGAAACGAGGAGAAGAAGGAGGAGGAGAAGGAGCAGGAAGAGGAGGTGGAGGACGAGGAGGTGGAGGACGAGGAGGAGGAGGAGCAAAAGGAGGAGGAGGAGGAGGAAGAGGAGGAGAAGCAGGAGGAGGAGGAGGAGAAGCAAGAGGAGGATAACGAGGAGAAGGACGAGGAGGAGGACGAGAAGGAGCGGGTGGCGCTTCTCCTGATTCGAGGCGCTCCCCACCCCAATCCAACTCAGCCCCTCCTGCGACCTGTCAAAGCTATTGCAAGAAAATCAAGAACAGATCGACGCGTGGGGCTCGACCCCTCCGGGGCAGGATCAGCCAGGATCGAATCGGGAAATCGGCTCGAATCGGAACGTGCGCCGGATCGAGCCGCATCGGTGCATCGGTACGGAATCGAAACTGGGTCGGATGACTGGTCAGGCTGCGCCAGGATGCACAACAGCGCCATGCAAACATCGGGCCACGCCGGACCGGCGGAAGACCAGAATCAAATCGGATCGGGCCTGACCGAAATCGATATCTAATCGGATCGATCGGATGGGAGTGTATCTTTCTGGGGTGGACGGGCCAGCTGGCAGACCTCCCCAGACATCCGCCGATACGGTCTTGGCATTCCGCGGCCCCAGAGCTGAAAGCTAGGCAACACGCCCGACCTCCTCCTCAGGGATGAGTTGGCGCCCGGGATCCGCTCTTGGTCCCGGGGGCCCGCTCACAAGCCCCACAGGGCGCCATCTAAAGAAAAAAAAACAAAAACTCTTCTCCAGGAATACTTTGGCGCCTCGGATTCGTTTCGAATGGTCCCGGGACCCGATAACGGGCCCCGGAGGCCGAAATGTTATATATAACACAAAAAAACAAACAAACAAACAAATAAACAAACAAACAAACAAACAAACAAACAAACAAACAAACAATTATCCTGGCGAAAGACCCAACCATAAGCAATTGTTGGTAACGCGTTGTGGGTGCCGCTTTCGGTGGGGCTCCATATGGGGCCACGAAGCGCTGCCTTGGATGGGGGAACCGCATGCGGACTGCGCCATTGGGGCGGGCCTTCGGTGGAGCTCCCTATGGGGCTACGAAACGCTGCCCTGGGTGGGGGAACCGCATGCGAACTGCGCCACTGGGGCCTTCGGTGGAGCTCCCTATGGTGCCACGAAACGCTGCCCTGGGTGGGGGAACGCATGCGAACTGCGACCCCACTGGGGCCTACGGTGGAGCTCCCTATGGGGCCCCGAAACGCTGCCCTGGGCGGGGGAACCGCATGCGAACACCCCCACTGGGGCCTTCGGTGGAGCTCCCTATGGGGCTACGAAACGCTGCCCTGGGTGGGGGAACCGCATGCGAACACCCCCACTGGGGCCTTCGGTGGAGCTCCCTATGGGGCCACGAAACGCTGCCCTGGGTGGGGGAACCGCATGCGAACACCCCCACTGGGGCCTTCGGTGGAGCTCCCTATGGGGCTACGAAGCGCTGCCCTGGGTGGGGGAACCGCATCGAACACCCCCACTGGGGCCTTCGGTGGAGCTCCCTATGGGGCCACGAAACGCTGCCCTGGGTGGGGGAACCGCATGCGAACACCCCCACTGGGGCCTTCGGTGGAGCTCCCTATGGGGCTACGAAACGCTGCCCTGGGTGGGGGAACCGCATGCGAACACCCCCACTGGGGCCTTCGGTGGAGCTCCCTATGGGGCCACGAAACGCTGCCCTGGGTGGGGGAACCGCATGCGAACACCCCCACTGGGGCCTTCGGTGGAGCTCCCTATGGGGCCACGAAACGCTGCCCTGGGTGGGGGAACCGCATGCGAACACCCCCACTGGGGCCTTCGGTGGAGCTCCCTATGGGGCCACGAAACGCTGCCCTGGGTGGGGGAACCGCATGCGAACACCCCCACTGGGGCCTTCGGTGGAGCTCCCATTGGGGCCACGAAACGCTGCCCTGGGTGGGGGAACCGCATGCGAACACCCCCACTGGGGCCTTCGGTGGAGCTCCCTATGGGGCCACGAAACGCTGCCCTGGGTGGGGGAACCGCATGCGAACACCCCCACTGGGGCCTTCGGTGGAGCTCCCTATGGGGCTACGAAACGCTGCCCTGGGTGGGGGAACCGCATGCGAACACCCCCACTGGGGCCTTCGGTGGAGCTCCCTATGGGGCCACGAAACGCTGCCCTGGGTGGGGGAACCGCATGCGAACACCCCCACTGGGGCCTTCGGTGGAGCTCCCTATGGGGCCACGAAACGCTGCCCTGGGTGGGGGAACCGCATGCGAACACCCCCACTGGGGCCTTCGGTGGAGCTCCCTATGGGGCCACGAAACGCTGCCCTGGGTGGGGGAACCGCATGCGAACACCCCCACTGGGGCCTTCGGTGGAGCTCCCTATGGGGCCACGAAACGCTGCCCTGGGTGGGGGAACCGCATGCGAACACCCCCACTGGGGCCTTCGGTGGAGCTCCCTATGGGGCTACGAAACGCTGCCCTGGGTGGGGGAACCGCATGCGAACACCCCCACTGGGGCCTTCGGTGGAGCTCCCTATGGGGCCACGAAACGCTGCCCTGGGTGGGGGAACCGCATGCGAACACCCCCACTGGGGCCTTCGGTGGAGCTCCCTATGGGGCTACGAAACGCTGCCCTGGGTGGGGGAACCGCATGCGAACACCCCCACTGGGGCCTTCGGTGGAGCTCCCTATGGGGCCACGAAACGCTGCCCTGGGTGGGGGAACCGCATGCGAACACCCCCACTGGGGCCTTCGGTGGAGCTCCCTATGGGGCCACGAAACGCTGCCCTGGGTGGGGGAACCGCATGCGAACACCCCCACTGGGGCCTTCGGTGGAGCTCCCTATGGGGCCACGAAACGCTGCCCTGGGTGGGGGAACCGCATGCGAACACCCCCACTGGGGCCTTCGGCGGAGCTCCTATGGGGCTACGAAACGCTGTACTGGGTGGGTGAAACGCAGGGAAGAGGGGGAGGAGGGAGGAGGAGGAGGAGGAAGGAGGAACGCGGGGCACCGTCTCTTCAAAACGAGGACCCAACACCACAGGATGGTTGGGAAAAAAACAAAGAAACAAAAAAACAAAAACAAAAACAAAACAAACAAAAAAAAAAAAACGACCCCTTTCCCCTGGGGCTGAATCACACGCTCCAGGGGCCGACATCGAGGAAACACGCCCGATCCCTTCCCCAGGCATCGTTTGGCACCCCAGAGCCGTTTTCGCTAGTTCCCAGGCCCGATGACGCTCTCCAGAGGCCGAATTCTTTAAGAAATATCCTGGCGAAGGACCCAGCCATAAGCAATTGTTCGTAACGCGTTGTGGGTGCCGCTTTCGGTGGGGCTCCCTATGGGGCCACGGAGCGCTGCCCTGGGTGGGGGAAGCGCATGCGAGAGCAGCCACTGGGGCCTTCGGTGGAGCTCCCTATGGGGCCACGAAACGCTGCCCTGGGTACGGGAACCGCATGCGAACTGCGCCACTGGGGCCGTCGGTGGAGCTCCCTATGGGGCCACGAAACGCTGCCCTGGGTGGTGGAAGCGCATGCGAGAGCAGCCACTGGGGCCTTCGGTGGAGCTCCCTATGGGGCCACGAAGCGCTGCACTGGGTGGGGGGACCGTATGCGAGAGCAAGCAACCACTGGGGCCTTCGGTGGAGCTCCCTATGGGGCTACGAAACGTGTTAGGGGTGTGCCGAGAGCAGAGGCAAGAAGGGGGAGGAGGGAGGAGGGAGGGGGCAGCGGGAGGAGGAGACGTGGGGCACCGTCTCTTCAAAACGAGGACCCAACACCACAGGATGGTTGGGAACACAAAAACGGCCCCTTCTCCAGAGGAACCTTTGCGCCCCTGATTCAGTGTTGGTGGTCCCCGGGTTACCGACCCCAGAGGCCAAGATCGAGGCAATGCCCTGATTGAAGCAAGAATCAAAACAAGTGGATCGAGAAGTAGGAGCAGCACGGCCAGGAAGCTCTGAGAAAGAAAAGATACAGCCAGGACAAGGGTGAGAGCACGGCCATGTGAACCTCAGTGTATGTCTTAACATAAACGGCCGTGACCACCCGGACCAAAAATAGAGCCAGCATCTACGCAAGAGCACGACTCCTGAATCAACTGTGTTGCGGATGCCATGACAATGGGCACTCTTACAATCCGATCATTGAAGAAAATGCGTGAATGTTGAAAACAGCTCTCTAAATGTTTCTACAATGGTCGAAACACGCTTCTAGAATTCATCGCATTCAAAAAAAAAAAAAAACATGCTTGAGGCATCTGGACACTATTTGGCAACATGCCTCCTCTCCACGGATCGCCTTCCACGACAACTGCGAGAGGAAGCCGCGGGCGGGACAGCTCCAAGGACCGCCTCCCGACGGGGCGGCCCCCCTCGGCATCCCGGGCCCCCCCCGCCCCGCCCCCCGGAGGGGACTCGTCGTTGGCCCTCTTCTTGCCACTGTGAGGAGCCTCGCAGCGAAACGCCACGAGGGAAAGCCGTGTTCGGGTCGGGGGTCGTCGTCGTCTTCGTCGTCGTCGTTGTCTTCGTCGTCGTCGTCGTCCGTCGTCGTCGTCGTCGTCGGAGCTCTGGGGACCTCGCTGTTCGACAGCCTGCCCGTGCCCCCGCGCACCTCCTCGGCGCTCAGGGTCGCGTCGTCGGCCTGCTGCGTGTCCTGCGGCCCTCCCGCAACGCCTCCTCCTCCTCCTCCGCCTCCTCCTCCTCCTCCTCCGCCTCCTCCTCCTCCTATTCCTACTGCTCCTCCTCCTCCTCCTCCTCCTCCTCCTCCTCCTCCTCCTCCTCCTCCTCCTCCGCCCCTCATCCTCCTCCCCTACTGCTCCTCCTCCTTCTCCTCCTCATCCTCCTCCCTTCCTCCTTCGTTCCTCGTCCTCTCCTCTCGACCCTATCGTCTCTCCCCTCCTCCTCCTCCTCCTCCTCCTCCCTCCTCCTCCACCTCCTTCTCCTCTTCCTTCCTCCTCCTCCTCCTCCTCCTCCTCCTCCTCCTCCTCCTCCTCCTCCTCCTCCTCCTCCTCCTCCTCCTCCTCCTCTCCTCCTTCCTCCTTCCTCCTCCTCCTCCTCCTCCTCCTCCTCCTCCTCCCCCCCCATTCCGTTTCTTTAGAAGGGGCTCCTCCCTGCCGCACCCCCGGACGTGTCCGTAGGCCAGGCCAGGCGTTTCGCTCAAGACTTCCTCGCAAGTTGCGATCTTGAACCTTGAGACTTGCAACAGCTTGATTCAGGGATGGAGGGCGGACTGCTTTGAAAACGACAGTATCCTCTTAGCGCCGCGCGCATCCAGGTGAAAAGTGCCCAACAGTGTGGAAGATGGAGGAAGGGTCGCCTTCAACATGGAACTCTCGCCTCCGTAGCGCCGCGCACACCCTTTTCTGAGGTGTGCAACTGCTGCTCGGATGAAGCCCGGCTCGTTTGCAACATGTGGATCTCGCCTGAACGCCACGCACTTTCGCCTTGAGAGGTTGCAGCAGTTTTCAGGATTCGTAGGGTTGAAGTCCAAGGATGCGTGCTCTGGCAAGAGTCAGGTCAGGACGCAACAGTCAGGTGGATCCGCGTCGTTGAAGTCACAGGAAAGGTGTTCTGGAAAGCTTCAGGATTGCCAAGGACGCGGCGCGGAAGTCCGAGGAACGGTGCTTTGAAACGAGCGAAGATATTCAAAACATTCGGACAATGCCTGGCGAGGCATCTCCACTCTTCGGATATTCGGACGGTCGTCGTTCAATGGGCCACCTCTTGCATTGAGAACAAACTCTTGTAGGGTCCTGTGAAGTAGGAGCTTGGAGGAACGGTGTATAGCAACATCGCTGATGCACCTGAATTGACACTGGTCCTCCTCCTCCTCCTCCTCATCCTCATCCTCCTCATCCTCCTCCTCCTCCTCCTCCTCCTCCTCCTCCAGCCCTCCTCCTGGGAATCGAAATCGGAATCGGAATCGGAGTCTGACGTCTGACTGGGCCGCCTATCTCCTTCTCCTCCATTCCTCTTCCATACAAATAAATTCTCCCGTCGCACCCCGAGGCCAGTTTTTAGGGCGGGCCGGGCGTTTCGCCTGAGAGTTCCTCACCATTTCTTACTCTGAAGCTGAAAAAGTGACAACAGCTTCACAGATGGAAGGAGGGTCATTTTTCAAATCTGGCTCTCGCCGTAGCGCCGGGCACACTCGATTTAAACATCTACAAAAGCGTCACGGATTAAGGGCGGGTCGTTTTCAAAATGTTGCTCTCGCCTTAGCGCCGCGCACATTCGTTTAAACAACTGCAAGAGCTTCACGGATTGAGGGCGGTTCCTTTTCAAGATGTGGATCTCGCCACGGCGCCGCGCACATTCGTTTAAAACAGTTGCCAAAGTTTCACGGATTGAAGACGGGTCGTTTTTCAAAATGTTGCTATCACCTTATCGCCGAGCACATTCGATTTAAAAGCTTGCAAGAGTTTCACGGATTGAAGGCGGTTCCTTTTCAAAATGTGGCTCTCGCCTTAGCGCCGCGCACATTCGCTTTGGAATAATGCAAAAGTTTCGCGGCTTCCCATGACCAGCGTACCAGAAATTGTGTGTTGGGAAGGATTGAAGATTATACGGGTGCAACAGCTATGTTGATTCGCGGTGTTGAGGTCCCAAAATTGGCGTCCTCGCACAATTCTGGATCTTCATGACGCAGCAGTCAGGTTGATCCGTGGCGTTGAACTCCCGAGAACAATGTTTTGGCATGCTTCAGGATCTCCAAACGGTTGTCTTCCAACGAGGCAGTCCCATCGATGGAAATGAACCTTCGTAGGGGCCTATGAAGAGGGAGCTCGGAGGGCTAATTCCAACATCGTTGATGACTCTTGGGTTTACACTGGTCCTCCTCCTCCTCCTCCTCCTCCTCCTCCTCCTCCTCCTCCTCCTCCTCCTCCTCCTCCTCCTCCTCCTCCTCCTGCACCACACCCTCCTCCTCCTCCTCCTCCTCCTCCTCCCCCTCCTCCCACCTCCTCCTCCTCCTCCTCCTCCTCCTCCTCCTCCTCCTCCTCCTCCTCCTCCTCCGCCTCCGCCTCCTCCTCCCCCCTCGCTTCCCCTCCCTTGCCCTCTCCCTCCCGCGCTCCCTGCATCGGACGGGCCTTCCCTTCTCGTGGCGTCCTGGCCGCGCCTCTCCTACTCCTCGACACGGCTGCCCACCTCTGCTTGCTGTTCTGGGGCTATCCTGATACAGTGGGTTCGCGCGGCGTCGGCGCGCGCGCGAAGGGTTTTGACACCGCCTCGATCGCTCAACCTTGGACCGATCGCGGCTCCGATCACTCTAGGCCGACTCCCGTCGGGTCCGGTGGCATTGCCGTGTCCCTCGGTGCTTCCGCGTCGCTCCATCGTGCGGAATTCCATCTTGAACGCCTTCGCGGGCGTCGCCTGCGCGCCATCGCCGCGTGAACCCACGGTCTACTTCGTCGACCTCTCCTCTTCAGCCAGCTTGTTGGGGACAGGAAGGATAGGGAATCGAACTCTATACACCGACGCTTCTTCCGGCCCTGCATCAGAATTTGCACTGGAGAGCGGATCCTGGTGCATACGGGACCCTGGTGTATACATTTTTCGTTGCTTCCCCGGGACATCGGGGAAAAAAGTATACACCACACCACCCCGGCGCCGTCCTCGACCCTCGAGAAGTCCACGGATTGAAAGACAGCCCGCCACTGGTAGTGTATATGTTCCAGTTTCCGAAAAGAGGCAAAGGGATGAAGGGGCCCTGGGACACACAATCAAATGCACACAAGTCAAAGGATCCCCCATGTCTTCGCACTTGCTTTCTGGGCGTATGGCTCCCCCCCACGGCCCCTATGTTCCCATATCTCTTCGGGGGAATCAGCGATGAATGGCGTCGGTGTGTTTGTTCTCCTCCTGAAGGGGCGGGGACGACCGCGGCGCACCGCAGCTGCTCCCGCGCACACCCCGCGGGCGAAGCACACGCGCGGCCCTGTCCGCGGCCTCGTGGGGCGGCCCCCACAGGGGGGCCGCGGCCCCGCGGCTCCGCGGGGCGCTTCCTTTGTGTGTGTCGCGGGCGCCCCGCGCGGCGCGCGGCCGTGCGACCGCGCCTCCGCGGGATCGCGCCCCGGGAGGCAGGCCACCCGGCTGGGAGGCAGCTGCCGGGAGGTTCTCGCCGGAAAGAGTACAGTCGAAACGTATAGCAGGGACGCGAGGTAAGGGCGCAAGACCCTTGGAGGCCGAAGTTGGGTTTTTTAAGGGCGGCGGGCGACCAGTGATAATGGCAGGGACGAGCCTCAGGGGCAAGGACACGAGGTACCCTAGATGAAGGCGCGCGTCCTTACTAGGCGCGTTGACTGTGATAGGGAGGACTGAGCCTCCCCTGGGAGCTGTGGCGCCGGAGTGGGCCTCGGATCGCGCGGGCTTGAGCCGGACTGAGCGGGATTCAGCGGGATTCAGCGGGATCAAGCGGGATGAAGCCCGATTTCGGGCCAGGGCAAAATAAGAATTCGACCTCCCAGGAGCTGCACCCGAAGCCAGGGCGCAGAAACGGATACGTGCGCCCCCTCGTGGTGCCCGTCGGTGGCGAGGAGCGGCGAGGCAGGTCCTAGGCTGCGTGCCAGGGCCGCCCCAGTCCGGCTCGCAAGAGGCACCTAGAAAAAGGGGAAGAGAGCAGATCTAATGGTCTCCATTGCCAGACGAGAACAACTTGGGGAGCCACGAGGTGAAAGAGCGGCTACCCTAGCCGCGTGGCGTGCCTCCGCTTGGGGGAACACCCAGCCTTGAGATGTTTCGAGGTCGTGGCACGGCAGAGGGAGAGGAGGAGCGGGGGAAAAAGGAGGAACACAGATGAGCGACGACTAGAAGCGGGGGGCCCTACGCGAGATGCCACAGCGACCTGAGGCGGTGGCTTACGCGGGGCGCCAGCGCGGCACGCCACGTTGGAACCCAGGGCCCCTACGGGCGACCTTACGCAGGCAGCTTACGCGCCAGTGTCGCTGAAGACGACCCCACTTTTTTCTGCGCCGCCCGGACGGATGATGCAAAACTGCCCACAACTCTTCTTCGACTTCTCCCCACCCTCCTGTCGGGGACGCAGTGACCTGGGTCAATGCAAACCAGGGCCAGTCGTGCACCCCAGGATCCTGCAAATCCTGCAAAATCCTGCGGGATCCCGCGCGACGACAGCACGGGTCGGTGCACCCGTGGCTCTGCAGGATCCTGCAAGATCCGGCGCCCTAGCTCACCCCCGTTTGCAGTGACCCCGGCCTCGAGGCTCCCGTGGGCAGACCAAGAAGGTGCCGATGCCGCTGCTCCCCAGACCTCTCCCAGGGTGCGTCCAGACCAGCATTTCGAGGCGGATCCAGCGGCTGGGTGGCGACGAGGGCCTCCCAGGAGGCCCAAGAAGGGGGAAAATGGGAGAAGGGTAGCGGTATGGGTACCTTGTCATGTGGTTTTTGGATCATAACTCGGGTCTACGGCGGGCGTTCGGGACGATCCGAACACCACCAGAACCCCCTCGGCGAGGCGCAGCTGCTGGCAAGCATCCCGAGGCTGGAAGCCCGTCGAGAATCGACGAAAACGCCCGAAAGCCTCGAACCTCGAACCTCGAACCTCGAACCTTGGACCTCCTCTGGCTTCCGATCCTGCGCGCCACCGCGGCAGCCAGCGAGGAAGGGGTGCTGCAGGGCCGCCTCCACGGTGGCGCGCCTCGCGGGGTCGAAGGCCAGCAGCCGGGCGGCGAGGTCCGCGGCGGCGGGCGAGCACGACCGCGCGAGCTGGCGCAGGCACTCCTGGCAGAGGGCGCCCCCAGGCTCCCCGGGTCCTGCTCGCTCCTCGGAGTTCCGCTCCTCGGCCCTCGCTCCTCCTTCCTGGTGCCTCTCTCATTCTCCGCCTCCTCCTCCTCCTCCTCCTCCGCCTCCTCCTCCTCCTCCTCCGCCTCCTCCTCCTCCTCCTCCCATTTATCGTCGGGGTCGCCTCCTCCTCTCCTCCTCCTCCTCCTCCTCCTCCTCCTCCTCCTCCTCCTCCCCTCCTACTCCTCCTCCTCCTCCTCCCTCCTCCTCCTCCTCCTCCTCCTCCTCCTCCTCTCCTCCTCCTCCCCTCCTCCTCGTTCTCCTCCCGCCAGGGCCCGCCTCCTCCTCCTCCTCCTCCTCCTCCTCCTCCTCCTCCTCCTCCTCCCTCCTCATCCTCATCCGCCTCCTCCTCCGCCTCCTCCGCCTCCTCCGCCTCCTCCTCCTCCTTCTCTCTTCTCCCATTTCTCGTCGGGTCGCCTCCTCCTCCTCCTCCTCCTCCTCCTCCTCCTCCTCCTCCTCCTCCTCCTCTGACTCCCTCCCTCCAGCAGGCCAATTTGGACCTCCCCACCTGGCTCGTGGTTCGTCGTCCACCCCCCTGCCCCCGAGGCCCCTCCCCTGGTCTCCCTGGCGGGTCCTCCTCCCCAGCCCGTCGCCAGGTCCATGGCGGAGTCCTTTATTCGTCGCCTCCTCAAGATCCTCCTGTCCCTCGCCGCTCCCTCGCGCAAGAGGAGGAGGGGGAGGAGGAGGAGGAGGAGGAGGAGGAGGAGGAGGAGGAGGAGGAGGAGGAGGAGGAGGAGAAGAAGGAGGAGGAGGAGGAGGAGGAGGGGGGGAATCGAGTATCTACGAGGGTCGAGGAACGAGGAGAAGGATCGAGGGCACGAGTGCCACTTGTTTGTTCTACTGGCACCCCCCAGGGAGACGAAGACCGCAGGGTCCGAAGGAAGGTGGAGGTCATGAGTTCGCGGGAGAGCCTAGCTGCTTCTGCTCGTCGGATCCTGCACGTCGCGCTCCAGCCCACCTCTGGCGCACAGCTCCCTGAACTCGCTGTCTACGTTGGTGGAGAAGGGGAAGCGGCCTCTGGACAGACACGGGACGATGATGATGATGATGATGATGATGATGATGATGATGATGATGATGATGGTGATGGTGATGGTGATGGTGATGATGATGATAATGATGATGATGATGATGATGATGATGATGATGATGATGATGATGATGATGATGATGATGATGATGATGATGATGATGATGACGCTGATGATAAAGATAGTGGTGGTGGTGGTGATGGTGATGGCGACGGTGACGGTGCTGGTAGTGATGGTGATGATGATGATGATGATGATGATGATGATGATGATGATGATGATTATGATGATGATGCTGACGATGCTCATGATGATGATTATGATACTGATGATGCTGATGACGATGCTGATGATGATAGTGTTAGTGATGGTGATGATGATGAGTATGATGGTTGTGGTGATGATGAACCTGGGAATGTTGATGATCATGATGATGATCATGCTGATGGTGGTGATAAACATGATAATGATAGTGCTTGAAATAATATTGATAAGACTAATACGAGTAGTAGTACTAATACTAAAAATAATGAAAGAGGTGATACTGTTGATGACGATACTAATGTTGATGCTTGAGATGATGCTGATGACGATGACGATGACGATGACGATGGTGATGATGCTGATGATGATGCTGCTGATGATGGTTGTGATGATGGTTATGATGGTGATGATGGCAATGGTGATGATGATGATGCGTTCCTTCTAGCGCTGAAACGCCGAAACACTTCGTGGCCAAAAAGTACGAGCCGGCCTTGCCGGCCACGATGTGGATCGGCGCTCCAGCGCTACAAGGAAATCATGATCGTCAACATCACCTACTTAATACTCCTCGTTATCATCACAAGCAGAATGAACAACATAAACAGCATCATCACGGCAGTGAACGCCATCCTCATCGACAGCATCATCAACCACATCATCGTCATGACCGCATATCATCAACATCAGCAACAGCATCATTAACATCATCGGCCTATCATCAACAGCAGCATCAGCATCATCCGTACCGTCATCATCAGAATCATCACCATCACCCTCATCTTCACAACAACAACATCATGAGCCACAACCTCAACCTGCATCAGCATCATCATCACCACCACCATCAACATCATCATCATCATCATCATCATCATCATCATCATCATCATCAGGGTCACCATCATCATTGTCGTCGTCATCATCGTCATCATCATTGTCAGCGTCCTCATCATGACCACCACCATCATCATCGCCATCAGTACCATACCAACAACAACCTCATCATCATAATCATCGTCG